AGTGAAGAAGAGATTTGTTTCCAAATCGATTCTTTCAAAGAGACATTTTGGACAATGGAGAAAACGTTAACATTTTGAAAGCACGATGAGGAGGGAGAAGGATAGAGTCGAAGTGGCGAGGATCGCGAGGGAGGGATCCGTTAAAAGCGGCCGCGATCCGGAATCGGATTCACGTACGATATCTGGCTCGTAACGGATGGCCGGGGGCCAATCAAAAGGAAGTTTGTCAGAGAGACTTGAGCGTGGCACGTAGAAACGTCTTCCTCTCGTATATAAGCGGAGGAGGAGGGGGGATCGGTGTTCCGCGTCGCAGCCGCCACTTCCCCCCTCCCTTCCCCTCCCTTTTTCCCGAATAACTCAAGAATGATTGGATTTGGAGCGAGGAGCCCGGTTGGCGTCACGTGGCACCAATAGCTTCTGCTATATAATAAAATAATACACGCAGAGAGACCGCCATCCTGCATTTACATGGGCCACGTGATCTCGATACTCTCTCTCTCTCTCTCTCTCTCTCTCTCTCTGGTCTCCTTCCCTCGGGTGTACGTCCTTGGAATCGAGTTTCCAACGAGAAGATTTCGTTCTCAAAATGGTTTTTCAATTTCTTTCTTTTTTTTTTTTTTTTCTTTTGGATTTATGTTTTTCGGCGAAGAAATCTTCTCGACGATCAATATCTTTTCCTCTCGAGAGAAAATAAAAGAAGTTACTTTTCTCGTATTCCGATTACGAAATTCCTCGAGAGGTGGTGGTGGTTTTATTATTCGCGAGCCGTTTAAACTCGTTTTCGAAGCGATGTTTTATATTTTATGAAGTTTCCCGATATACATAACCTGAGACTGGAACGTGCGCCGTTTTTAGGGAAATTTCGCAAGCTGTTCCGGAAATTGAATTCCGCTTCATTTCCGTTAATCCATCCGCCGCAATTGCACGTATTATCTTGATTTTGAAAGTTTGTCGTCGTCTATCGCGATTGAACCCCGCGTTGGACGCTCCGTCCCCTTTATTTTTAATACGGTTACCGGTTGGACGAGCGCGCTAACGCTCAGGTGGGTTGCATGAAAACTTGAAAGAGTTGGTAAGGGGCTTTTTCCAGGAAGAATCGAATGAATTTACATTCGTTACAAAAAGCTTCTCGTTAATCGTATTTTCCTCTTTTCTCATTGGCTCTTTTTTCTCTCCTCCTTCCTCTTCTTTTTTTTTTATATCTCTCTGTTCTTTTGCTATTTTACTCATCTCTCTCTCTCTCTCTCTTCTTTCTTGTTTACAATTTTTTATTTACTTTTTGTGTTCCATTCTCCTATTCTTTCTCTTCTTTATTTGTTGTAATTTTTCCCCCGTTTATCCCTTTTGTCCTCCGTACTTTTTTCGCTGTTTACAAAGCTGGGCTTTTCCGTATTCCACTTAGACTTATTTATATGCTTTTTTTCCTGTTTTTAACCCCTCTCTCTCTCTCTCCCTTTTCAGGATTAACCTTGTAATAATCCACTTTTTTTAATCCTTTTTAATGTACGTATTTTCTTTTTTAATTCCGTTTTCCATTTTTATATCCCATCACATAAGCTAATTTTTCCTTTCTTTCCCCCGCGGATTTCTGTATTTTTATCACGCTCACCTTGTATAGAATGGTGGTGTGACTTGGTATAACAAAACTCTGCGCATCTTTGCAGTAGAAGAGTCTCCCCCCCCCTCCCTTCCTCCTCTGCTTCTTCCATTTTTGCCTGATAGGCTCACATTCCGATAGAACACCACCACCACCCACCATTCATATACACCGAATATCCTTTTTCTTCTCCTTCCTTGGATTTTCTTCGCTTCGCGCTCAGATTTATGAAGACTATTCGATTTTATCGCTTATTGCTAGGAACTTGCCGATATTCGTGGCGTTCTCACTCCCTAAGTGAAGTTCTACTCTCTTTTTTCTTCTCTAACATAGTTT